TGTGAGGGAGGTGGGGGGTTTTTTTTTTTTTTTTTTTTTTTTTTTTTAAAAATGGCTGATGCAAACCTATTAACTGGTTTTGCATTCCAATCCATAGCTAAAACTTTAAAACTACAAAAGAAAAAGCCCCTGTAGCCCCTGTCTGCAAGACCCCCCAAAGCTGCTTGCAAACCCTCCCAAACTTCTGAAGTGATCACACACATTGATTATCTGAATTACATCCGAGTTCGTGTAGTTTTGTTCTTATCTGGGCTTTCTACCACAAATCTGTTTGACAATTGTTTTGTAATAATACATATTATAGCAAAATAACAGATGTCAGAATTTTAAATGTGGAAGTTTATAACTTTTAACTTGAAAAGGTCAACTATTTTCTGATACTATTTTGAAACTAAAACCATTTCTTGCCACAGAGCAGTGAACATCTGATTTTTCATTTGCTTTCTCAGTGATTAAATTCAAAATTTCTTAGACTTATGTAGATAGCTGTCCCAGAATTTTTTTTAATTAGTTGCTTTTAAACTGGTATAGGACAATAGTCTGAAAATGGGCTGTTGACTCAGTGGTAATTATAGCTGCTCTGAATGTGACAGTGTAATGATACATCTCTTTAATCAGAGCAAAATGAAGTCATATTTCATATGACTAATCAGAAAGGTAAGCTTTCGTGGAGGTATGTAAAGGAGAATACTTCTGAAGGTTAACCTTGCCCGAAGGGGGTTAATTTGCGTGGCTGTGGAGCGGCCCGCGGGAGAAGCCAGCTTTAGGAGCTCCATCACCTCCTGAAGATACCCTGAGCACAAGGGGTGTCTGCACCGATTTGTGTCGCACACGCTGGTCCGCATCCCACGGACCCCTTATCTCCCAGAGACCCCCTTGCTTTTGGCTTCCGAAAGTAAAAGGAACAGAGTAGACATCTGTAAATTAATCACTGCCGTCGATTTTCCTGCATAAAGAGCAGCTAAAAGGGGAATAAACTGAGAGCGAGAACTTGCAGCGTTGTGAATTCCTGCCGTGCGCCTGAAGATGGGCTGTACGAGCCTTTCAGCCCTTCCACGCAGGCTCCTGTAGAGGTCAATGGTGTTTCTCAAGCCTGTGCTGATGTTTGGAAATGTGTCCAAGAGAGATGACAGTCTCCTCTGCAGGAAGATGACAGTTGCTCCTCTGCCAGTTGTGTCTGGAGGTAGCGGTGCAGGGGCAGAATCCCGCATCGGAAGCACATCATAAGAAATGGTCTCTGCTCTGGGGACCATATGCTTTCTGGAATGATACGCTGTAGAAGATGAGATAAATAGATGCAGGCATCCTTAAGCAAACATGGTGAATATGATAAGCAGCGAGGAGCGTGGAAAACAGTGATCAAAGCAGTCCCGGCTGTCAAGCCACTGCCACTCTGGAGGAAGATGAAGGAGGGTGGAGGACTTTGCATCGGTCTTGTGGAGATCTGCTTCCACAGATGACGTATTTGCGAGGACAAGAGGCATTCAGTTTAAACTAATCTGAATTCCTCTGATGCTAATGCAATATTTTAAAGCAAAAAGAATGGAATACTTCAAATGCTGATATCAGCAAGATTCTGATCGTCTGTATAATTCTGATCATAACTTTCTCAGTGTCTGTTAAATTGTCCGTAGTGCACTTTGTGGCATTAGACTCTTAAACATAGATGCATTATGAAAGAGAGCTCTAAACGATTTAGATGTATATGGTTAAACATAGATGCATTATGAAAGAGAGCTCTAAACTTAACGATTTAGATGTATATGGTGCTCCTGTAATAGAAATTTTATGCACATCCTAACAATTTCCCAAGCCTCGAATGCATGTGCAGTTACCCCGTTTGTGTAGCAGGAAGGTCTGATGGGGAAAATACGGAGCGATTGGATAATGTATCTATAGAGGATATTTAAAAAGGGATGCTTTTTGAGATAATGTGCTTTTTCTAGAAAATAAGGGTTTTTGAATTAACAACTAAGCTTCTAAAATGTTTGTTCCTGAAGGAAAACAGTTTCATTTAAGATCCCAGGTGCACATTAAACTTGTCTTATATCAGTAGACAGTAATTTATTTTCTCTAGGCTTCTGTGTTCTTCTCTTTCTGCTGCTTAGGTAAAATCTAATAAAGCTAGGCATAACAACAAGATACCTTTGTTCTGTAAAAGTTTGTGTTTGGGCTAGAACAAAAGACTTGGGGTCATGTTTCAGTCCCATTCCTATTTCTGCTGTCGTCTCACAGGGACATGATGCAAGTTTTAGTTATCTGTAACTAAAATCAGTGTAACACCATCTTCTGAGTCCAAGGGGCATCAGTTTGATCTCCAAGATCTTGATTTGAAACCTTCATGCAATTAAGGATTATTTTCAGCTCCTCAGAAGAAAAACAGACCTTGGATAGCGTGTCCTTGATTTGATTCGATGTCATCCTTGTCTTTGCTAATGCACTTATGTGGATCATAGCCCCGGTAGTATGAATTTTAAATGTTTTCAGTGCAAATAGACTAAGTGATCCGTCACTTTCTTTTTTTTTTTTTTTTTTTTTTTTTTTTTCCCCAGTCAATTTTGACAGCATCTTTCTTTCCCGCTTGGCCTTGCCTCTCCCTCCAATCTTTCTCTGTCCATGCCTGTAGCTTCCAGCCCAACTTTCTGTGGCACGAAGCACCCTGTTGTCACTCAGACTGGGACCTACGGGTGCTCGTCACCCGAGTGTGTGCAGGCACAGGCGGCGGGTGATTGCCCTGCCAGCTCCTCTCTTCTGGTTCCTGATGGTTCTCTTCCCTCCTACGAACTTTGGCTTGTATGGCTTAGATCTCTTGGAGCTCCAGCCAGCTCCTCCCAGTATTTATGGTCTCTCCTATTCCGTATTTTCTGATCTTTTCCCCCTCCATCCCCCACAACAGCAGGATGCCTTGTTTCTCCATCTTAATTGATTTGTAGGAGCACAGCCTCTTGGTTACTCAATACTCTGTTCCCTGAGAGCTTGCAGAGTGAGTGCTCAGGCCGACGAATGACTATTTTGGTTACACTGAGTTAAAAGTTTAGCTTTGCTTTTTATAACGACTTGCAGCATACTTTCTGCAAAACTTCATAAATGCAC